GCTGCTGTAAACAGCTGTGCGTGGGTCATCGTGACAGATGCTCTCTGTGGTCAGACACCACCATCCCAGCGAGAGCTGAGCTTGGCAGCCTTGTATGGCCTCGTGGCAGCTCTGACTCAGCTGATTCTGTGTGCCATCTGCATCTCTGCGTGATAACAGCGTAAGACCTGCTCTTTTCCTTCAGCCCTGTTGTGGATGGGATTGGTGGGTTCTGAAATCTCACCCTGCCTTCCAGTGGGGAGTGAGCGGCAGCTTGGAGGCATCTTGGGCCTGACCTGGAGCACCTTGTCTGCTGGGTGTGCCCACGTCCTGGTCTGGAGTGTTCCAGCCCTCAGCTTGGGAGACAGCGAGGCAGCGATGGGGTTGAGAAGTCCTTCCTCCCCAGTCGCTCAGAGCTGTTATTGGCCTGGGGTCACCATGTCGCCCCTCTGTAATTACTCTGAGGGTGAGCTTTGGAACAGATGGTGGGCGTCCCACTGGGTGACAGCCTCATCGGGACACTGGTCCTCCTTGAGTGGGCTTCAGAGGGGAGGCTGTGTGTGGGCTGGTGGCAGCCAATCAAATTGGCACCTGAGGTGACGTGGTGGAGGGGCAGTGGCTGTCAGACCTCCTGTCCCCTGCTGGGGATGGACGGGGCCTGGTGTCACTAGAGCATCCTCCTCCTGGGACCAGGCACCAAGGCTAGAAAACAAGGCCACGTCCCACCCGCTGCCCATAGCACCAAGGCAGACTCCACACCCTCCTCCTGGTCTTCTGAGCCCCCTCCCTGTCCAAGCAGAGGTCCTCAAGGATGTCCACTGTCCAGGACAGTCCTATCCTCCAGGGCAGCACCAGGCAGGATTGACTTGGCTGCTTGCTTGCCAACAGTCGGGTTGTTTGGCAGCAGAGAGGGTGTTAATTTTTAGATGCTGCCTCCTCACACTCCCCACTCTAAAATACGGATTTTACTTCCTCTTGATGGAAAATGCACTTCTCAGCTCCACCGTGACCTGCTGGAGGTGGGCAGGGCTCAGGTCCCTGTGAGGCTCCTGCAGCCTCGTGGCCTCCCTGCTCTGCAAGGGCAGCTCTGCGCAGCAAATGGTGAGCGAAAGGAGCCCGTTCTGGGCCTAGTGTGAGCCACAGCACCAACCCAGAAGGAGGGGGCCTCCAGGACACCGCTCCTGCGTCCGGGGAGCCTCGAGCACAGGGCAAGCACTTCGGTGCAGAGCCAGGGCAGGGAGGGAAGTCTCTGCGGAGCTCTGCGGAGCTGCACAGAGGCTGTGCGGCGTGCAGCAGGAGGACACATGCGCCAGGTAGATCCAGTCCTGCCTGATGGGCTGACGGCTGTCTCTCTGCCGGGAAAAGCATCTTCAGAGCTGAAACATGATTACTTTTTCCTCGAGTATATGTTTTTTATATAACACACAGCATTTTGAACTCCTCGGTCTCCACCATCTGTAGAACTCAATTTCCGTTTGGTAAAAAAAAAAAAAAATTGCTGACATCTGTTTAAACCCTAATATCTCCACAGCCATGTAGAATGTTAACTCGAGCTTGGTGTCATGTTAAATCGCCTGAGTTTTAAAATAATATTAAACTTATGGTTTTGCTCAAACTTTGCCATGATACTAGTATTTAACCCTTCAGATGTTCAAAGCTGGTCACCAAGAACGATTACGAGCAAAAAGACCCCAAATGAAATCAGACGTGGATGGTTCCTCTATATACCACAGTCTGTAAGATTTTTCTAAAAACCACCAAGAATTTGGAGCCGTGAAGGAGCCTGATGGGCTGCTGCAATGTCAGGAACTTGGCTGAGGCTGGGGCGGTGGGACGGTCCTCCGAGAGACCTGCTGGGAGGAACCCAGGCAGAGGGAGGCAGGGAATGGCTTGGGTTTTTCGGGTGTAGAGAAAGCGGGCCAACGCCCAGGTCCCCCCACCTGGCTCAGTTTCCATCTGCCTGCGGGTGATGGGCCAGGGTCCAGGTGCCTCCTCCACCCCGCCGAGAACTCAGACTCCATCCCCACCATTTGTGCAGGGGTGTCCCTGCCACATGGCAGCCCCGATGGCCTTGGATCCACACCCATTCCCATGGCAGTGTGTTTGGGAAAGGGAGCCCCTTTGGGCCATGGCACCTCCTGGACCCCAACCTGGGGCCCCATGGGAACTTTGGGTTTGCTCCATGAGGAGTGAGCCGAGCTGGCAGGGCTCTCAGCAGCACCATGGAACACGCGGTCTTCGTTCGCCCTGAATATTTCTTCCCAGGTGCCTGATCACTGGGCTTCTGGGAAACCTGGAAACTCTTTTCTCGAATTCTAGAGGCCAGACCAGGGTACAATGTGCTGGCCAAGAAGGCCTCTTCCTGCTGGCCTTTGCATGGTGGAGGAGACTAGAGAGCTCCCCGAAGGCCTCTAGGATTCCAGCCTGGGATTCCTCTCAGCAGGGCTCCCCCCATGGCTCAATTTCGTCTGAAGCCATCATCTCCTGTTCCAACATATTGGGACCAGGTTTCAATAGGAATCTTGGGGAGACAAACCTTCCACCTGCAGCACTGGGATGCTGTCTGCCTCAGGCTGGGCTCAGATGCCCACAGTAGCTGCCCAGGCCTGTCCGCTGTGCTCCTGTGAGCATAGTGCCCATGCTGCCCTGCTCCCTGCTTGGGGGTGCCTGGCGTGGTGTGCGGACACTGTGGGCTCATGTCTACACCCCTGTGGGTGAAGATGGTGGAGATCCCAGCTCTCCTTAGATTGGTCACTGCCTTTGGTGCTTGGCCTGGCCATGGAGGACATGTGACCACAGGGTCACAGCATGGCTAGCCCCTGGGCCAGGGAGCTTCCAACCCAGGGGTGCTGTGGCCTGCTCCGAGTTAGCCTGGTGGGCAGAGATGGCATCTCCCTCTGCCCAACTCTGTGCCCTTGAAGTGGGACCCTTGTCTCCTGACCCCCTTCTCAGTGAGGGTCAGTAAGCCATGGTGCTGGCTATTTGATAATATCTCAGGAGGACACAGATGCCCCTATTTGTTCTGTGTTTGTCTGTGCCACAGGATACCTGAGACCACACAGCCCACCGAGACTGCACAGTCCACTCTGTGCCTTGGGACCAAATGTCCATTGACCCTGGCTCACTGTAGGTCTTCAGCAGCCTCTCTCCAAAGGGGAAGGAGACAGGTTCATGCTCCTGGCCATTCCTCGACCCCTTCTCCCAGCTCCTATCCACACCTGGTAGGGCTTTCCAGACAGAAACCATGGCCTTGCAGCTCAGACCTGGGTCCCTGGTGTGGGGTGACAGATTTGTAAACAACGGGCTTACTTATCCACAACCGTGGGTGGTGCATCCCGAGCAAGGTGGACTCCAGAGCAAGGAGGAGAAATGAAGGCTTGAATGAAGGTTGACTTTCCACCTGTGATAAAGGCTCTCTGGGGAAGCAGAAGCTTTGTGTGGGTCTTTGTGTGGGCCCACAGGTCACCTGAGGGATGGTGGTACGAGCTGGTGTCAGCTGAGCTTGCATCCATCGCTCTGAGCTCCCTCCCGCTCCCGTGGGCCCTGAGTGTCAGAGGTTCAGGGCCTGCAAGCTCAGGAGCTCCTGTGGTGACCACTGCCAGCACCAGGCAGGGCAAATGGGGACGAAATGTGGGGCAGGCAGGCCAGAAACAGTGTGTCTGGTGCTGCTGGGAAGGGAACATGGGGGACATCGGGTGTCAGTGTGAGCCCGGGGTGGGGCAGATGGCTCCGGTAATGGCATCTGACAGCACTGTGAACTGTCACAGAGAGGAGAGAAGGCAGAGGCGTCGTCCAGTGTGGACAGCACCAGAAGTCGTGGAGTCAGCTCAGCAGAGCACGCATGGCTATCTGCTCACATTTGCTGCCCACCCTGTCCCTGAGCTGGCCTCTGCCGTGATGGCCAGAATGGCCCTGGTTCCCCTGCCAGCATTGGCTGAGGCTGCCTTTGCTGAAACTGTGTCCTTGCAGGGCTTCTCTTCACTGCTGGAGCCTGTGTGACCCATATGGGTTTGTCCTGGGCCCCCACCTTGCACACTTGTGCACATGCCCTGCATACCCGTGTGCACACACTCTGTACTGTCATGCACACACCCTGCATACCCACCTGCACTGCACTTCACACTTGTGTGCACATGCCTTCTCTCTCTCACACACACACGCCCTGCACACCCACCTGCACACGTCCTGCATACCCTGCACACCTGCACACGCACCTCTTCCCAAGGCCTCTCCCAGTGGTGTACACAAAGTGGCCAAAAGTAAAGCAATAGATACAAGAAATTGAACACAGTTACGGCACCGAGACGTGGAGGGAAACAAGCAGTGATCCCGCAAGGAAGAGAATCCAAGCGTGGCCATGACCTTCCATGATGCAGAAAGTGATGCCTGGGAGACCTGGGCTGGGTGGCTCCAGCTTGTCCATCCAGGACAGGGCAGCAGGTGAGCCTGGTCCTCCACAGATGTCCTGCTGGGTATGTGGTGCGCTCAGAGCACGCTGTGCACTTCCATTAAAATACCTGTCACAGCAGCAGAGGTGTGGCCACGGCTCCCCTCAAGTCCTCCCCTTCTCTCTCACACACTCAGCCCGGGTCCTGGCCCTTCCTGCGGCAGCGCCAGAGTCGCTGACCCAAGTGTCTTTAGCTGGCCACCTCCGTATCCTGCACTGACCCAAATGTCTCCCTTTCATGATCATCTTGACTCTGAGGAACAACCAACGCCAGATCCGGGGAGTAAGCGGGGTGCAGATGCACCGTGGGGTTTTTATTTGACAGAAATTGCTGTAAATGGTTCATCAAATAGGTCGATTACAAAATACACGATGCTTATATTAAAAATATTGCTGCAAAATACACATCACCTTTAATCCCTCTCCTGTCTCTCTCTCTCTCCGTCCCTGTCTCTCTCTCTCTCTCTCTCAGCGCTGGCACTGGACAAGGTCCCCTCCTACACTAGCCAAGTACCCTACTTCTGAGCTGCACTCCCCACCCTACGCACTGCCACGTGCCCCTCAAGATACTGACCGTACTCCCTCACTTGGACATGCTGTCTGTGGTCTTGGCGCGGGGTCTCTTCCCTTATGCGTTATTTAATGTCCACCGTGTCTTGCAGGCACCTTACATCAGCCGGCCCAGGTCATAGTCCAGGACTTCATGGAGCATTTCATGATGCGTGTTCCTAAACGCTTGTGAATCTGTGAAACTATGAAAAGTGGAGACAGTTTCCAATTGAAATCTTAGAGAATAAAGTTGGCCAAATGTCACCTGATTTTCAGAAAGGGAAATATATAGAATGGCAAACTTAATTGTTAATGGCTTCCAAGCTTCAAGAACAGATTAGCAAAGAGATGCACTTAGAAAAGAATAGTGTGATCACAGGGGGCTCACAGAGTCATGAATGCTTCTTTAAAAATTACTATTTTTGAGACAGGGTCTCGCCGTGCAGTACAGGTGGTCTTGAGCTCATGTTATAGCCTGGGCTGGCCTTGAACTTGCAGCGACCCTCCTGCCTCAGCCTCCCTAGTGCTGGGATTACCGGTATGTACCATAATGCCCCGCCAAGCTTCCCATCTCTGAGTAGACATTAGAGGGAATGTTCTGGCCACAGTGGGTGGTTATCAGGTGCTTGGTAAAGGCTCATAAAGTCACCTTGAGGACAACACAAGGACATGACACTGATCACAATGCCACCCATCCACAAGGTGAGGTCAGAACAGCAGTGTGAAATGTCCTCTCCAGTGCTGACGTGCCCAGGACAGCACCCTGTGCTTCCATGCCTGATCCTCCAGCCTGCTTTCCTGTTTCTGGGCTTCGCCCTTCTCCACACACACAGTGTGTCCCCGTGGCCTCAGTTGGAAGCTGAGGAGTGGCCTTCATTGGGACTCCAGCTCATGCCAGGACCCGAAGGGGTCCTCCTGTGCCATCAAGCAGCTTTCACACCTCTCCAGGACCTGCAGGGGAGAACTGCGGTCTGGCACTGATTGCTGGGCGTCCACAAACAGGGTCTGCCCTCTGCAGTGACTCCATCTTTGAAATGGGCACCAAGGTCCGGTCCCTGCCTTCTCTTCCATGCTCCTCAAGACTCTGCCTGGGGACAGTTTGGCTTTCCCTCCCCTCCTTCCCTCTGACCCTCCCACCCCTGTCCCTAACAACTGTCCTGGAAGTGCTGGGAAGCCTCCTGGTCGCCCTCACGCTGAAGCCCAGATGTGCCCAGCCTCTCCCCTGTGTCACGCGTGCCATCTCTGAGGCCTAGGGCTCCGACCCAGCCCCGGTGCTGGCTGCCCATGCCCTGCTCTGCCCAGCTGCCAGATGCAGAGACTCTGAGGACCGAGTCCTAGCCAGAGGCCTGGGCTTCAGGAGCCGCCACCTTCGAGCTTTTTGAAAGAGAGGCGCTGGATAAATGCAAAGCACTGTTGCTCTTACAGCGAAGAAAAAGCCGCTGTGAGCTCAGGGTCTGTCATCAGGAAGCAAGTACAGCGTCGGTGCCTTTGACGATGGGATGTCTGTGGCGGCGCAGCGCACGGTGAGCCCACTCACTGACCGACAGGTTTTCCACCAGCAGGTCGGAACCCTCTGAGTGCTTAGTTTTTGCTTCTGCTGTTCCTCTTCCCAGCTCCACCCCGACTCTGTTCATAGGTAAATGGTAAGAGGACAGAGGTCAGATTGACGGCTCTGAAATGGATACACTGAACTGCGTTCGTGGAAGAAGCACGGCCCTGGAGGAATCTAGGCTCACTCTCTGTTCAATGGATCACGCAGAGAAGCCGCCCCCGGCTCTGGGGCTCCCCCAGATTACAGGGCCCCAGAGGTCTGCATCCTGCAGCCTGGGAAAGAGCTTAGAATTCTTCAGGAGGAGCACCGATCGGGATCAAGCCTTGGAAAGGAAGGAAGGAAGGGAATGTTATAAAATACTTTAATGTGTTTATCTGCATATTTTCGGTCTACCCATAATGTTCAGAGAATTTAAATGGTTTAAGAAAATTACTTCTTAAAATAAGGACTATTGTTCTTGGGGAGCAGGTCAGCCTCGCAGGCTCCTCTGGCTCTGTGATCTCGACCTGGGCCCTGGGTGTCGCCTACGTTTGCTGCGGCACCCTCCCTGTTGTGGGACTTCCCCTGGACAGCTTCCGCCTTGCTGCAAGAGGGTGCAGCAGACCGGCAGGGGTCTCGGGCGGCTGTTAGGTTCGCATTCTGCTCCATGGGCCGCGAAGCAGCTAAGCCCCACCCCGTACCTGCCTCAGTTTCCCTAATGTAATATCTAGTAAGTAACTGAAAGTAACAGACAGGAAAGACATTTCCCTCACTGACACACGTACGTGATGGAAAGCAGGCACACACTTGGGACTCGGGTTTAAGGTCCTTTATTTTATTCTCACTTCTTCCTTGTCCTGGCTCCGGTGACCCCTCCCGGTGGCACTGTTGCATTCTGAGTCTCCCTGCTCACCTTCATTTTTCTCATTTCTCTGGGGGTGACTCTGTCCCAAGAGCTTGTGCCGGATGCTGATTCCAAAGTATCTGTTAGCCTTCTTAGAACGCCAAGCTCCAGGCACGGGTTTATGCTTGCTTGGTGGATAAAGGGCTTTTTAGCTACATTTTACTGGGGCTCCTTATGTCTATCCTATGGGTCTGAATTTTGGTTAATATATCATCTTTTCTGCTAAAGTTACTAGTAAATTAAAATTAAAACATAATGAAGAGAAAGCTTTAGCTTTCACGCCCGTCTGGTCAGCTGAATTGGCAGGAATTCAGTTGAAAGCCGCGAGTCAGTTGCCGGGGACCGGGGCACCAGGCTGCTGCCGGGACGTGGCATGGGGGAGTCTGGACAGGCGAGGCCGCTTCTTGGGTGCTTGCTGCTGTCAGGGGTGTTGCACCCCAACTTGAGTCGATGTGAATGCACTGGGATTGGCTTTGGTTTAAAGTTTGCGGGTGCCACCTGGAAACACTCCCCACCCCTTTGATTTGGAACCTGGGCTTGTGGGGTTTTTCTGTGTCAATTCCATCTTCCTCGGCAGTGGATGTCCTGAGCATAACATGAACTGGAAAAACAGGACTGGTCCCCAGCCCTCACTGCATAGGACGGTCTAAAGGACAGTGAAAGGGTCCCGGGCTGGCGAGAGAAGTCCTTGGGGACATCTGTGACATGCGCGGGCATCCAGGAGACCGAGTTTGGAAAGAGCCCTCCGCGGCTGCACAGGGCAGGGCGCGGTGCCGAGCTCTGTCTTCTGTCTCTGCCATCTACAGGGGCTCCTCAGTGGTCTCTCCTGTGGGGTGGCCTTCAAGGGCTCACTATGGTCACCTTCCAGCCCCCCACACATCTGCTTCCCAAGTGACAAACCAAACTGCCCTCGGGGCTGGAGCGGCTGCCGCCAGCACACATGGCCGACATGTGACGCTGTGGTCTCCTGCGTTTCGACGCATTCTTCTGGGACACAGGGACAGCAGTGTTCGGCGGTCACCACAGAGTTCTGTGGCCGCCAGACAGCTCAGAGCTGCAGGAAACCTCCTGTGGGTTCCCAGGACGCTTAGCATTCTTCAGCAGCCGACAGCCCCCCAGTAGCGCTGTGCAAACAGGCCATGCTCTGCAGCAGGGCGCCTCCCTCAGGGGTGAGGGGACCCCAGAAAAGCCGGGAGGGGCAGGGATGCCGGAAAAACCCAGGCTGCCTGCCTCCTCCTCCTCTTCCCCTTCCTCCTCCTCCTCCTTCTCCTCCTCGCTGAGCTGCAGAGCTGCAGAACAGGGCAGACAGGACTGCACAGGGACTGGGGATGGGGGAGGAGGGAACCTTGGGGACCTCGACTTCCTCCTCCTCATCCAAGCCCACCTCGCCCGCCTCAGCCCCCTCCACCCTGCGGGGTTCGTGTTCAGCGTCAAATTAAGTGTTCATGACAGCTAACCGCAAGTTATTAAATGTGATTCACCGCCACATCTCCGCGCCTTCCTCGCTGGTGGGTCAGAGTAACCGCTTAGACAAACCATTTGATTCATGGCATCGATACAAAGAGCCTTTCAGAAGGAGAGAGAGGCCTTCTCAGCCCTGAGCTGAAAATTGTTTTATTTCCACGATTCTCTTAAACAGGTCAGGGAGCTGAATGAAACCCCAAATCCTTTCTGACTGCTTAGCTGTGAAGTCTCTAAAACGTTTCAGAGCCGGGAGCAAGGGCTGTGGATTGCCACGTCAGCGGAAATTTAAGAAATCAGTGTCAGAAGCGAACTCGTGTTTGACAAGTGAGACCAGCGGTCTGCGGCCCTGGGAAGGTGGCGATCTTTTCGTGTTTAATGCTCCTAATAATCGGGTTTCCTGTCACAGAGAGGCGGTGTTGTGCTGGTAGCTCTGCTAGAGGCGAGGTGAGGAACCGCGGCAGTGCATTTGCTGGTCTTGGCGTTTCCCCGGCTCGCTCTGAGACAGTGGGCACCAGTCTTCAGGTGCCAGGCACCTTGGTCCCTGCCCCCTAGGTCGTCAGTCAGGCTCCACCCTTGCCTGGGTAAGCACCCTCGTTGCTGGGTGCTGGGTGCTGGGTGTAGCCCTTCACTCACCCACCGGGGACTTTGCTCCCCCTCGGCATGGCCGCGTGACCCTCCTGCGATGCCCTGGACAGGTCCTGGTGAGCGCGAGCCCTGGCCTTTGTTCTGGGGCAGGGCGTGGAGAGTCGCCATCTGTTCATAGTTGGCATCCAGATCTGATAGGTTGCACAGGGCCCCTGGGCTGATTGAATTTAAGAGGGGACCGAGTTCGTGTGGGATAAACTCAGATCTAACTTGTCATCTCTCTGCCAAGAGCATGTAATTCATTTTCTTATTACCAACATAGACTATTAGAAAATAAGCTTGCTATGTAACAAATTGAAGTCTAAGAAAATATCCATATTAGGAAACCCAGTTCGATGATTAAATTAAGCAAGGATTACTTCGGCGTGAATAATTCAACAATCTGCTTTTCTGTCCTGAAAAATGAGTTCAGTGAGGCATGGCTTGCTCGTAATATTCAACGGCTTGGCTTTCGGGGTTCGGGGCTCTTGCCCTCTCTCTCGGTGTCCTGCCCTCTTGTCTCAGCATCACCTTGCTGTCATCTGTGACATTGAGTCAGACTGAAGTCGCCCCAGAGGGGCCGGACCCTCTCCCTGCAGTCTGCTCCCCTAGAGTACCCGGCTCCCGCGAGGGGCAGAAGTGGGGACCCCAAGCCTTCAGTCACTGGACGTCCTCAGCGCACAAGGCAAACAGCCGGAGCACGGCCCCCCGAGACTTGCAGGGCTGCAGCAAAACCAGGCTTCCTGTTTCAGGCCCAAGGCACAGCCCATTCCAGTTTTGTTCTTCTTGAAAAGTCCAGACAGTTTCACTCTTCACAGTTTTAAATAGACAGAGAAACTATAAAATCTTTTATGAGTTCATATATTGCTAAATCATCATTCTTTTAAAAAATAATGTTTACTTTATTCATTTACCACACATTTGCTCAGCATGTACGCTGCAAACAGCCTGTTGTTGTTTTAGTGAATGCTGGACAATTTATTTTTTCTCTTTTGCTCAAATATGGAGCTAAAAGTAATCGTTGGACACTGGAAGGCTTAGATTACAGCAATCAGCATTTTAGGGTAATTTAATGAAAGAGTTCATGCTGTCTGAAAGAGGAAAAGCAACCTTTACGCAGAAAACAGTTTCACTAATACTAATAAAAGTGATCGAAAGACAGAATAATTAGATCTTCTTCTCCTCGTCTGACAGGGCTGACGGCGGCCTGTAACTGCCTGCTCCTCACAAGCGCTGGATGTGGGCTCCGCAGCCGGCAGCCATCGAGAAGGGTTGAAGTTCACCCAAAGTCATCTCGCTGCATTATGGAAGGCAAACGAAGCCCTAGAGTTCAAATCATCCAGCTCACGTGATGAGTGTTAGAGGGATAAGAAACTTGGAAGGACTATTCACTCCAAAAATCTATATCATCAGTTGCTAGAATTTGTAGGATTTTCGGATCCATGATAGACCCACCTAGGTGTGGCGGGGCGCTGGGAGGTCAGGACGCCCCCAGGGTGGGTGCATCTCAATTGTGCCCCCTGCTCTCCTGGACGCCAGAGCCCAGCTGTGAACGTGGCCAGCACACGAGTTGTGCCCTCCGAGAAACCAGGCAGGGAAATGCCCGCACAGTACGCTGATAGGATTCATTCCTTCCGCCATCGTTTGGCAAGAGCCTAGCAAGTTCCAGGAAGGCAAAGGGGACCTGGGCACAGCTGGTGTGCAGCAGGAGCCATGGGAGCCTGGAGAAGGGCAGTGGGGAGAAGTGGCCAGAGGTCAGCTGAGGAGAAGGTCAGGCCGCCAGTGCGTGCAGAGGGAGGGATGGAGGGAGGGGGGAAGGAAAGGAAGGAAAGAAGGAAGGAAAGGAGGAGAGGACTGACGGCCGAGGGAGGCTGACTGGCCAGGCATGTCCTGTGGGCCAAGCGTCTCTCCACCGCCCTGCAGGGTGGGCGCCATCTTTGTCTCTCTTTGGGGAGGAAGAAGTTGACCCCACCATCTCACAGCCAGGGAGTGCAGAGCCAGGGTCCAACCCAGAAGTCTGGCACGAGAGCCCCACTTTCCGTTGCTTTATGGGGAGACCAGGACAGATAATGTATTCTTGGTGCTGGGGTGGGGAAGGGGAGCGTGGAAATGCCCCAGCAGCCCCCAGAGGGGAGCGTGCGGATGCCAGCAGTGTGGCCCAAGGTCAGACAGGGGCCGAACCAGGACCTCTCGGAGGGTGGGCAGAAGCAGGCTTTAGAACACACATGCAGTTAGGGGGCAGAGGCAGGATGACATCACAGACGGCTGCCGGTGGGTTTTTCCTCCATTTCCTCTTCCTCTTCCTCTTCCTCTTCCCCCCTCTTCCTTTCCTCTGGTCCCCCATTTCCAGTAAGAGTGTAGGCATCTGCTACTCTTCCAAGACACAGGACTGGAACACAGCTGGGTACCCCAGGCCAAAGCCAGTCACCCAGCTGTCCTTGGGGTACCTCCCTCCTCCTTGTCCTTCTGGAAGTCCTTCTAAGGGGCCGTCAGGTGCATCTGTCCAGGGAGCAGAGCAGACCAGACCTGTTCTCCCTGGAGAAATCAGGAGTTCCAGTACACTGGTGACCATGACGTCGACAAGCACCTGGGTCCTTTGGGGGAGGAGGAGGGGAGAAGGCACCTTCGGGCACCAGGACCTGCCAGGAGGTCACGCACATCGCTGGACCTTTCCCTGCACAAGGACCGAGGCGCCCTCCACTGGGTACGGGAGGGCCGTGCATGGCTGTGCTGTGTAGGTGTGGGGCGCAGGCCTGGAGGGTGCCTGACAGACTGGGTATTCCCAAGTGTTCCCCAGCGGCTCCCAGCCCCAGCTCCACTGAGGCTGATGAAGGTGACCTCTTCCCAGGCTGTGCCAGCATCGAGAATTTTCTCTCATCTGTACTTTTGACAGGTGAATGGGCTGGAGACAGGAAATCTCTAGCTTTAAGTGCAGTTTCAAGACTTCTAGGAAGGAAGAAGATTTCTCTGTTTGTTTCTCAACCATGTATATTTTATAGACGAGGAGGCGAATGGTAAATAATGTTCCCAGGGCTGCACAGTCCACAGTGGGGAAAATCAGGCCCGAAGTCCAGCAGGAATCCACCCGCTCCTGCCCTTCCATTTCTGCTCCTTAGCCTCAGGTGTGGTGAGCGAGGTCTCTCCTACCCTGAGCCTTACAACCTCTCACCCGCTCACATTCCGAGAGCTTGGACCCAGTGGGTCTTTGGTTCGGTGCTTCCCTTCCAGCGTCTCCTGCTGTGCCTGCCTCTCGAGGGGCCCAGTGTGGCCCCCAACAACTGTGACTGAGCCAAAACCAAATCCTGGAAGGAAGGCAGGCACCCTGGGTCCCAGGGCAGAGAGACCAGGGCTGCAGAACAGGTGTCACCACCGCGACTCACCGCCAGGGGTTGGGGCTGGCCAGTCTCTCTCCACACATCCACCTCTCTTTGTGGGGCACTCAGGAAAAGGGGAGCTGTCTGCACCCCGACTAGCTGAAGAACAAGCCCAGCTGGTCCTGGGCCATGGTGCGTTTTGTGGAGGCAGAACCTTGTCTGTGGGTTCGAGGTTGGTGGGGGCCCTTGGCACCCCAGGGCCCGTGGAAAACAAGTGTCCCTATGGTGCATAGGGACCATAGCACCTGCTTGGTCCCCTGCTTCAGAGCTATAAAATAAAGTGAGCTGAAACCTGTGTTCTCCCAGGGGTGTTCCTAAGTCCTCGCTCACCGTTCCTACCCATCATGCCGGTAACCATGTGCCCAGGTCCTGTGTGTGCGTGTGTGTGTGTGTGTGTGTGTGTGTGTGTGTGTGCGCGCGTGTGTGCGTGTGTGTGTGTGTGTACTGAGATCCAAGGCAGTGGGGCCTGCCCAGCCGGGGGATGGTCCTGCCTGGCCAGGGGACAGTCCCTCACCCCTGCCCCCTTCTTAAAAGGAACTGTGGAGTTATAGTGGCCTCTTGGAGGATAGGGCCACCTCCCACCGGAGCCTCCACCTCACCAAGCCCCCTTTCCTTTAGGAAGGAGCAGGCACACAGGCCTGGGGATGGAACGGGGACACCTTAGGGGCTACCCCGACCCCCCAGTCCAGCTGAGGTAGGGGAGGGACTGTGTGCTGGATCCTTGGCTTGTGTGTCCCACACCAGTTTGCTGGCTACCATCACCCCAACCCCAGAAGGACCCCTGTTATCACCCCTTTGCAAAGCTGAGGAACCCGAGTCACAGGACGCTGAGGGGCGTGGGCCGACACATGGCACAGCAGACCCGACAGAGTCCTGCACCATCTTCATCCCAGCCAGCACCCGCCTGGCCCCACCCTCCTGGCGCCTATCCCTGTCCTGGCGCCTGTGTTGTCGGAAGTGGCTTTGGCAGGCAGCCACACAGGTCCACCCTCTCTGCCCACCCTGCCCGGGCCCAGGGCCTCCACACAGGGGCTTCTGGCTCTTAAAGGAGGTTGGGAAGAAGAGGGAGAGGGCAGTGGGAAAGAAGGCCACTCATTCAGTGGGGCCTGGATTTGAACCCAGCCCAGGAGCAGAGTAGGCCCAGTGTACCTGGTGGAGGACGGTGGCTGGGGGGCCAGGCAGGGAGGGAGGCCAAGCTGCCCAGGTCCCTAAGAGTCCTGAGCAAAGTGCTCAGCAGGACCCACCCTCTCCACAACTCTGGAGGCTGGAACGGCTAAGATGCCTGGGCTCCGGCGATCTCTCCCCCAAGGTGTGACCCAGGAGACACGGCCCTGGCTGTGGCATCTGACCCCAGCTCTGGCCCTTGCAGCACGTACTGGTTCCCTGCAAACCTCATTTCCCACGTCCCTGTTCTATCCAGAGCCTGTGCAGGCCCTGGCAGTGGCTCAGGCCCTGAGGCCAGGCAGCTGGAGACTGGGCCCCTGCTGGAGGGGCTCACAGCCCTGCTTGGGGCTCTGCCATCCCCTCCCCTCAGCTCAGGTTGCAGGGACTGTCCCCTGCTGGCCCTGGCATCCCTTCCTTCTCCTCTGTCATCCCTCCACACAGAGCTTCCTGCGTGGCTGATCCCGGGCTCCTGTGTCCCGGGGCCTCTTGCCCTCTTCCAGCACCCACCGCGGTGTCACCTGTCCCCAGGAGTACTGCACCGCTGAGGCAGTTTCTGTTTCGCTGACTGAATCTGCACTGGGAGCAGCAGCTGCGGGAGGGAGGACGGGGAGGACGGAGTGGGATGGATGTGGGGCTTCCCTCCTCCCATGCACGGGAACCCAGAGTGCCAGGACGCCAAGGGGAGCCTCCAAAGATACCGTCAGGGAGCGGGACACCCCGCCGAGCCGCACCCTTAGAGGCTGCGCGGTCCGTGGGGGTTGCGCCCTCCCACGCTGCCCGCCGGGCCCCGCGCGCGCTGCCGCTGGGTGCGAGCCTCGCTGCCGCGCAGCTTTATGAAAACCAGACTCGGTGCAGCGTTCTAAGTTTGCTGCATCAAAAAGAAGTTTAAATATTTTTGTTTAATGTGGAAATATTTTTAGATGATGAAGATGATTAAGTGTTGAAAATGTAGCGATCTGTTTGGCACCGAGAGAAAAGAAATATGAAGAATTTTTAATAAAAATCTGACCACATTGGTGTTGGAACACAATCTGTCTGAAATACAAGACAGATACTTTATCCCACGGGCTAAGCTGACTTTACTAATAGTTTTGGACAGTTACAGGTGTAATTTTAGCTACCAGAGGGAACACAAATTGTGTTATAAGAATGCAATAGAAACAATGGGAAATACAATTAAAGTTATTTTAAAAATCGAATATAAAGTTAGCAGAGCTAATACAAAGCATATTTTTGTAGCCTTTCACCAACAATGTATGTGAGTCTGAACCATTATGAAAATCAGATTTATGTGCTGGGCTTCTCATGTAGAGTGTGAAGATTGTGCTGTGAGCTCTCACTGTAAACAGCCACAGAGTGTGCCTTAACAGAATTATTCGAGATACACTGGCTCACAGAAGTAAATCTTTAAGAAAGTATCGGGACTCAGGGAGGGAGGGAGGGAGGGGGAAGGGTGAGGGCCGGAGGAAGGGGCTGCTGTCTGGCCTGCTTGGGTCTGCACGGCCAGCAAAGATGCCTCTATTTTTTGCCTATGTGGCTTTAATTTACCACTGCGCGATGCAGTATGTGTGGGGAAAATATGTGGAGTGAAAGCTTTCATGTGTTTTTTTGATTAAAAAAAAGTCAGTGCCACCAGCCCATGAGCACTCCTAAAATAACAAAGCAGTTGTGTGTGTGTGTGTGTGCGTGTGTGCGTGTGTGTGCCTGCACACACGCTGAAAGGGAAACTCTGGGTAAGGAGACAGATTTAAGTTTCAAGTTTCCAAGAATCTATTTAAATGACAGCAAGAAAAAATATTGAAAAAGTGATGAAAAATATCCCAGCAGGATCCTGTCAGAAAGCCACCTCACTTCCGGTGGTTTAACTCATGCGATGTAATTTCCACAGCCTTTCCAGTATGTGGGCGCCCTCGCTGCCAGTGACAGGCCCAAGGCTCTGAATCTAAGGCTCCGCCGGGCTCGGGGGAGGTGGGGTTTCCAGAAAAGTCTGCTAATTGCCCGCTCGGGACTCAAACCCAGCGACAGGCAATCATCATCTCTTTCCCTAAGTGACACTGGCATGTGGTCTGCACCAGGCACCGGAAGAGGCAAGTGTGTCAACTGAGAAGTGTCTACACAGCAGGCAGAGCGCTGTCCACCAAGGCCGGTCTTCCAGGCGGAGCCGGTAGAGGGGAAGGCGCTGTGTCCACACTGCAGGCTCTGACAGAGGCATTGTGGACCTGCACAACCAGCTGTGTGCTGTCTTGAGTTGTCCCCAATCAGCATCCCTTGGGAGTGCTGTTGACCAGTCCAGCTCACCTAAAAGGCTGTCGCCTTTGAGATTGGCCTGGCCCTGAGCCCTTGTCCCACCAAGTCACCTTGTGAGTGTCCTTGCTGTGTGGAAATCCTTTCAACATGAGCAGAGAAGCTTCGTGACCTCATCTCTGCCAAGGACAGCAGGCCGCCCTGTGGGTGCAGATGTGACCCGAGGTCCCCTAGGTGATCGCACTGGGAGACAGTGCCAGGTCAGTGTGGAGGCATTTCTGGGATCCTGCTCTGGACCCCAGATCTGCAGGACAGGAAGATGGCGGCACAGAGCGAGCAGAGACCTATGTCTTCTGGTGTCTTCAGAAAGCAATGAGCTAATGACAGCTTAGCAAGCTATTGGACCCTGTGCCCTGGGCGCTCCTCACTCCGGATGGATCCAGGCAGTGGAAGCGGGAGGGCATGTGGAGCGCACCCTCTCGGGGTTCTTCTCAGTGCAGAGTTTTCCCTTGAAGTCTGGGCCAGAACTTAGAATAGAAGCAAATGCCTTCTATAACTGGTTTTTAAAATATAAAGCCTGGTGCGCAGGCCCATGGCTTGCACGGGCCACCCTGAGGGGAGAGGAACTGTGTCAGGCTGCACATCAAACACGTAACTGTTTACTCATCTGCTGAAGTACGATGCAAGCCCAAGTTTAATAATTAAAGAAGGAAACCTGCACCTTGCTTGATCATCATACCCATCATCCCCTGCCCATCTCTCCAGACACCCGTATGTGGGTTGAAATTCTCCTTGCCAAGTGGCACAAGCACGTGTTTTGCGTGTCACAAGAGGCAGAGTTCGTGCTGCGAGGTCTGTGCTTGAGGACCAGGCAGTCAGTGGTGAGAGCATCCCTGGGTCACAAAACCTGCACGCTGCAGAAGGGGCCGACCCTTGAGCCCTCTGAGAAGTCTGTGTTTCCTGGTGGCTTTCTTTTCCCACCTGGAATCTCAGCCCCTCAGAACCACCGCTGTGGCTGCCGGGGTGCAGGGTCCCCCCCTCTCTGGTGTGTCAGGTGCTGGGGACAGCGCTTCCGTGACGAGTCTGCCCAGGTGCTGGCTCCAGCTTGGCACCTGGGTCTCTTGGCCGCGGCTGTGAAGCCCCGTGAGGAAGTCATAGAGGAGACCTGGTCATGACAGGATTTCAGAGTCCACAGCACAAACAATTGCGTCTTTAAAAAGAGAAGTGGCTTTTACATGATCCTAATGTCTTATACTCCTACCACCCAGATGAAATACCTGGAGTAAACACTGAAGACCAGACTGCAGTGGAGCAGAAGCCTGAGTCGCGTGACGGCTGCCTCTAAGAGAGCTTCATGACACCTCCGGTAGGACTCAGGGTCCAGGTGACAGCCATGAGCAGGGCTGGCGCTCACAGCTTCCCTCCTGTACCGGGTCCTGTTTGAGCCCCTATCCACAGCCTGGTCAGGTTCTCAGAGCCCAGGAAGCGAGGAGCGAGGCCCGGGCTTGCTTTCATGCAGGACAGGCTCTGCACAAACCCGGGTGTCCGCGCCCATCGCAGGGGCTCCATTCCGGGCCTCTGGCCCACCAGCTTCACGATCGATGTCCCTGTGCTCCACGGTCCAGAGGGCCTGCTGGTGCCAGCATGCTTGGTTCCTGAGGCTCCCTAGGAAACCCCGCGTCTTCCTGCCAAAGGGCTTGGTACCTAGTTTACTTTCTGTTTGGAATGAAAAGTACAGTTAACTTGTTTCTGTGGGCTCCTCTAGAGATACGCAAAACCAAAGTCGAAGCAATGGAAAACAAACACTGAGAAAGCACGTAATTAGGGGGTGCACATGCACAGGGGGGGCTGGCCGCATGTGACGGGGAGGACTGTGGGTGCTCAAAGCAGGGAGAGTGTGCCTGACGCTCCTGTTTCTGGACCCTCCCCAGCAATCGGAATGCGGGAGCGGCAGGTTAGACGGAAACCGTGGCCTGATGAGTCCACAGCCCGAGCCATCCTGACCAACCCGTAGGCTGCGGTTCCGTCTTGGTGGCGAGGGCCCCTGGTACACACAGACCTCAGGAGGTGGCCAGCGTCGAGACGTGGGGTCGGCCCCGGGCACCGAAGTGTGCCTGCGATGTCTTCTGCCAAGAGCAGGAGCAGCACTGTCACAGAACTGTGGGGACCGAGAGGGACAAGGACACCGCACGCGAATGTCCTCTCCAAGAGGAAGAAACGAGAAAGTTCAGCAAAACAAATACACTCTCCCCGGAATAGCAGAATGTGCTATCTTTCCAGGCAAAAGAAAAGAAGTGAGATTCTCCTAGGAAGTTACTGCGGTGACACAGGGGGTCGCCTCTCTCCTGGGGCAGAGGCAGCCGTCACTTGAATGCCGTCGAACAGCTTTTCAGCTCCCACAAAAGAGCAGACGGTTCCACTTATTTCTGAAATTAGATGCAATCATATCTGTGGATCGCGCAGCAGCAAACCACCGTAATCTGCATTACAATGCATTACCCCGCGCTCCCTCGCTGCGGTCTGCACGGCAACAGAAACACTTTGCGGTGACCTGCGCCGCGTCTGGCGGAGGCGCCGAGCCATGCCACGGCAGCAAAGCGACAGAGAAGGACGGCTTTCTGCTGCGAGAAAAGAGCAAATTAGAACCGAGTCAAGTCTCGGCTAATGCAAGACGAGCGTCTTCCAGTTCACGGTTTGCATAATTAGATATCCTGAATGGTCTCTTTTTTATTGTGCTAAAAATACTCCTGCTTTGTTTAAATCAGCTCTTTCCTTAACAGCGGGACTTTGGTACAGGAATCAGCGAGGTAGTTAGGGCAGTAGCAGGGATAAGGTACTTTTAGTTAACATTTAGGAAAATGCCCCTTATGGACGGCTTCTCCTGCTCACTAAGCAGCTGTCTCAGGAGGCCTTGGCTTCGCCTCGCAGCTGCTGCCTCTTCGTAGAAGGCAGGAGGCCACAGGGAGGTGCCGGAACGGGCAGGCTGGGAGGCCTGGCGACCCGGCGTCCTAGCACTGCTAAGAGCACCTTCCGTAACTTTCCTAACGCAAGCTGTTCAGGAGCACTGCAGGCATCCCCACACATTGAAATCCCTCGCGCGGATAACGGGCCCAGGGTGGCATGTACTCGTCCAGAGACAGCATCGCTTTTCTGGGTTTTACTCTGTAGTGCAGGCCAGCTTTGAACTCCCTGTGTAGCCCAGGATGGCCTCAAACTCACCCTGAACCTCCTGCCTCAGGCTCCTGAGGGCTGGGATTCCAGGCGTGTGCCACCACGCCACGCTAAATAAAGGCCACTTTGGAGGGGAAAAACTAAACCTTTCCTCGGCCTCGCTGGTGGGCCCTCCATCCGCTCTCACTGGTGGCTGGCGGAGGACACACACCCACCTGATGCCCTCTCCGCACACAGCCTGTACCCCGCCCTGTTTCTAGCCTACAAGTGCTCCTTCCGGGCGCTTTACCAGTTAAAGTATTAATACTTCTGGCTGCCGCTGAGCTAGAAGAGGTAGCTGAGAAGCTACCATGGCAGTGGCCAGGCCTGACGTCCCTCCAGGTCCCCAAGGAGGGGACAGCAAGACCATGCTGCAGGCCTTGCAGCTCCCTAGGGATTGGAGTGGCCCTGCCAGCTTGCCGTGCCTGGCGCGGTGCCCTGCAAAGACAGTTGTGGTTAGCATCTCCTGTTCCCTTAGGACGGCCCAGGGCCACCGTGACAGACATCTCTGGGATAGCTGAGGGACACGGCTCATGTTGCCCTGCCCACAGTGCACTCTGACCTTTCCTGTTCTAATTCATAGCCCTGATCTGCAGGCTGTGGTGACCGTGACAGGGGACCTGCGCTGTCCCTGCATCTTAGCACTCACATGTGCAGCGTGCGCAGTCAGCGCTCCGGACCTGGGCATCTTTCCTCCTCGTAAGGGAAACAGTGTTCACCATCTTCAGCAGACTGTGTGGTTCCGTTCTGTGAGGATCTGGGTTTCTGCTGGAGAAGGCAGCCCCGAGGAGGGCTCACTCACATAGCCATGCAGCCACAGGACTTGTCCCCTTTCCTGCCCTGGGTGTGGGAGGACCACGTGGTGTTTCACCCTTGTGCAAGAAGCTAACCAGTCACGAGGGTCCACGTCTGCCTCTCGCCCCACTGTGATTCCTCCACGGTCCCCTCGGAGTGCCCCCTACGAACTGATCCCTCAGAGATTTGAAGGGGGAGGTTTTCCAAGTTTGCTATAAATAGATGTCTTTTTACTTGATCTACAAGTTTCCTCCCGTAGATCTAGGAATCTAGGGCCAGATAAGAGGCACTGATATTTTCCGTGGTTTAAACTGCGTGACTTTCATCTTTCTACTGAAACACATGCAGCCTCTGTAGCCTGACCTCAGCAAAGAGCCCCGGGGGTCCGACCCGCTTTCCCAGGTTGCTCCCTGGAAGACACGGGGCACGGTTCGGGATTTCCGAGCTCAGATGGGCAGAACCGTGAGAGGCAACGCAGGTGGGAACTGACCGGGGAGGTACGAGCAGCTGCCAACAGAGGTGCCAGGCACCAGCATCCCGCAGGCAGGGCTCCTTCGCATCTCCCTGAAAGATGCTGCGCCCCTTGGCCTCCGTGGACTCAGTGTGGGCCTCGTGTCCCTGTCAACATGCTCCCCCATGACAGCCTGGAGGTGCTGTCACCATTCTCAGGCGGTACGGAGAGTCGGTGGAGCTGGAGCAGGTGTTCCAGGGGATGATTTTTAAAATCTCACACCTCTCCACGGTGTGAGTGGCCCTGACTGTGTGTGAGCCCTGGGGCAGTTCCAAGCTTGTCACCACGCACCTTGTCCTGTCTGTCTTCCCCTTGGAGGCCCTGCACATCTGTTCCCGATTGTTTTTTGTGCCAGGGAAGGTACCAGCAAATCGGGGTTGGCCCAGAGGAGAGTGGGGCAGTTCTGCATGGACGTCCTGGAGGGACAAAGCTAAGGAACCAAGGAGGTGCACTGCCCTCCTGGAGGTCGCAGCCACCACTTCTGCTGTTGATTTCAAGTGGGCTGGGCCGAGGGGCATGCTGGGAGTCAGACAACCGCACTCAGATTCCACGGAAGAGTTCTCATTGTTTCTAAATTACTGGTTAGCGTGAGCAGCCCTGGTGACTGCGGGGGAGGGGTCTGAGCAAACACATTTGGCCTCCACGCTGGCGTCACCGGCTGGAGGGAGGCAGACAGACACACAGCAAGAGGGCCGAGAAGCTCTGTGTGCGAAGGGCCAGCTCTCGACGTGACCTGTGTGCTGCCCAGCTGCACGTAGCCCACGCCCCGGCTGCTCCTGCCAGGGCTCCCTGCAGCCAGCAGACGCCTGCCCTTCCTTACTTCCCCGGCCTTTTCCAGATCTCCGAGGCCCTGCGGTGCGGTAGTGCCGCAGGCTCACCTGACGGACGGCACAGTTCCCGGGAGGCATCTGTGTCCTAACCGGGAACAAGGACCCTTGCCCAGTGAGGCTTCGCTTCATCCTCTCAGCTTGGCAGATGCAGGCAGCTCCGGGCCGAGGGTGCTCAGGGCTGCGACTCCTCAGCCCGCTGAGATCGGCTGTCACAGGCGCTGCCCGAGGCCTGGCTTACTCCAGGGAGTCTGCGCAGCCAGGGCACCACCTACATCCTTCAGTCAACTGTTTGGCACTGCAACCCTCTTTAATTCTTCCGAATCCTTGAATTCTGTTCTTGGAAGTGCAGGCAAGACAGGGCAGGCGAGCTGCCTATGAAACGAGGGCCCTCACCTGGATGGTTCCAAACACCAGTGCATTTGAGAAGCAAAACACATCCCTGTGGCCTGGTTCCCACAGGTCAGCCTGGCCCTGGGCGATCAAAACTCCAGCTTCTCTGCACTGTTGTGGTTGCTGTTGTAACGGGAGAGGATAATAGCTAGGGTTCCTTGGCTTCAAACACTGATTTGTGTTGCAAAACTGCTGAGTGTTCTGGTAAGGGAATGCGTGGGTCTTTTTGTCCCTCTAAAGCCAGGACCTAGGGCTCTGCCGCGTGCTGATGTCCATCTTGCGTCCTGGAGAGGGCACGCTGCAGCTTCCTCCACAAAAGCAAAGAGTGGAGACGGCTCATGCCCATCCCTTGACAAGCTCCAGCCCGAGCCCTGTGTGGTCACAGCTCCCACCCAGCTCCTTTGCCCGCAGCTTCAGTATCACAGACGGAAAGGAGGCTTTTTCATTCGTCCTGGGTACAAAAACCCTTCCTCAGCTTGTTTCAAAAGGGCTGAATTTTTTACAGTTCAGAGGTTGGAGCACTGAGAATTACAGACCAGCAGGCTCGAAAGCGAAGTGACACTGTGTTGTTGGCCAGCGGTGCCAGGTCCTGGGTGTGTGTGGAGTGTGCTGAAGAGTGGGGACTTGGGGGGAAGGAGTGATCTGGGAGGAGCAGAGGAGCTGACAAGGGAGGACACAGAGTGGGGACGCTTCAGCAGGCCTCAGTGGCCTCTCTGGCCCAGTCTGGCAGCAGGAAAGCTGGGGGTCCAGCAGGGCTGGTGCTGGGGGTCAGGACTCTCAAATTCCCCAGCCCAGCTCCTGAGCGAAAACATGGGCCGTTAGTGGCTTTCACTTTGTCGGGGGCCTGCAAGTGTGACCTTAGTCAAGCCAGGAGCTGGCTCAGCTGTAATACGACAAGGCCAGCCAGTTTAAAACTTATACACAGGTTTAAGGATTGAATGGTTAGCTCTATTTGAGGTCATGCTCCGGAGCAGTACCAGCCAGGGCAGAGGCTGCTGGCCCAGTAACACGGGTACCACTGAGCAGCCGCTCCAGTGTCCAGCTGGGTGCACAGGCGCTGTGGTGCCCCTGAGCATGTATCAGAAAATGCCCCCGTAGTCAGTGTACTTCAGATTGTTAGTTGCCTGGGTAACAGTTCCTGTCCCAGTTCCAGTTGCTCCTGTCTCTTAGAAACGGTTGATCACTGAGGGCACAGCTGGTTGCTACAATGCAGGTCATATAAACAAATCCCCAACTGACAAGCCACTCTGCCTCTGTACTACCTGCTTGCGTATCCCATATAAGCCCTGGGTCACCAGAGACTGGGGCCTGATATTCTAGGAATGACCCTGATCTGTGCTTGTTGATGTAAAATAAATCTGCCTCCCAACGCTGGGTGTCATTTCTGTGTTTCTGCTTGCCTTTGAAAGCACATCAGGGCTGCAATCAAAGACCTGCATCCAGGTACGTGTGACACACAGAGACAGACAGGGTGCGAGATGCTAACGGGAGGAGCAGGGTGCAGAGCAAGCCAAGGTTGGCCGTAGGATGCGCGGGCATTGCCCAGCAAGGCTGAGTCTGGGAATGTCCTAACTGTTCTCCTCTCTGTGCCGTGAAGACCGTGTTTGTGGGGCAGGACGGTGTGTCTGAGTGCCTCGTCGGCTGACGCTTCTGCAGCACTGCTGTCAGCCTCTTAGTCTCCTCGCAGTGAAGCCAAGACAGTCCTTGGAAAGCTCAGAGTCCTACGGAGAGCAGCCTCCCCCGCCAGACAGGAAGCCACGGTGGCTCTGCTAACCCACAGGGACATCTGTGAGACATGCCAGGGACTCTGAGCCAGCAGCGGACAAGGCTTCATGACACGGGAACAAAGAGCTGCAGCCCAACACCCACATTTACAGGCGGGAAGGGGTTCTCCCTGGAGAGTCTGAGTCATGCCTCTGGGACCCACGGGGGCAGCAGGACCAGTTCCACGCCCGAGCTCCTGGTGCCCAACCCTTCACTTTTCCTTTTTGGTGTTGGGGGTTGAACCCAGGACTTTCGCATTGAGCTGTACCCCAGCCCTGATTTTACTTTCTCTTTTGAGACAGGATCTCACTAAGCTGCCAAGTTGCCCAGGCTGGTCTTAAGCTTGCCACCCTCCTGCCTTGGCCTCCATGAGTGCTGGGATGACAGGTGTGCCCCGCCATGCCCAGTCCAACTGTGTCTTTTAAAAGTTTTCTCACACTAACATTATTTTATGGAAACCCAGCAAATTTACAGGGAGCCCCCCTTACACCAAATGATAGCACCCCAGGTCCTGATTACTAATTAGTTCAAATGTTTGAGAGAAAAATAGAACAGACAGTGGGCTTCAAAGTCAGGTCAAACAAGGGAAAAAACAAGACCTTAGCATCTTTTTCTCTGTGGTGTCTACACAGATGCCACCTCAGACGCCTGAAGGCAGAGGGTGGCGGGAGCCCCCAGCATGTTTACTCAACAGTTACCAGAGGGTAAGTGAATTCTTTCTAAGATTTCACTTTAGGACCAAGATTTATCTAAATATGTGAGTGTTTAGACCACTAAAAAAATATGGCAGAATGATTCTCCTTTCACAATATGTTAATCTTTCTTTATTTGTTCCTCCCAAATGTTTTTAAAACAGTCTCTGCCCAGGACAATTGGATCTTGTGTATCCTGTCAAATTTTAGGAGAAAACAAATTATAGAAGCAGATTATAAAGCTTTGGGCGCGGAGGCCGTTCACCACGGTGGTGTGGTGAGAGGTTTCGCTGGGGACTTCCGCCAGCAGGGCTTCCAAATCGGCTGAGAAGTGCAGAGTTTACTTGGCATCTATTTTAAGGCCTGTCTTTCTGCACTGTCCACCCAGTTCAAGGGCTCTGATCCACTTTGGGGGTGAATGTGTCAGGTTTGACATTAGACCTTCGTGATGCAAGGATCTCAAGCTGTAAAACTTGCTCTAATTTCCCCAGCAATGGATTCAAAAGCAGGAGGTGGTACAGTGGACCTGGTAGCTGTCAGATGCACATCTGAAATCCAGGTCTCAGTGACTATCTCCCAGGAGAAAATGACACTTTACATTTTACCTCGGAGCCACGATCGGGAGGGGAAGGGGAAGGGAGCTTCTTTTTTGAAGTCACTATGTGAGCTCAAACCAGGTCCATCTGAGCCATGGAGCTGGCGGCCCTCAGGCCTGTGCTGTGTGGGTGGGCGGCAGGTGGCCAGCCTGGGCCCCAGTTTGGGGGCCAGGGGGACACCGTGAGGCTGGCGAATGTGGGCAAGTGCAGACTCCCTCACGACGCAGGCGATCGCCCGTCCGGCAAACGTGGCCTAATAAAAACGTGTGTGAAAGCTTTTAAGGAGCTTCCCTCCTCAGCTTGGTGACAGAGTAGGCAGCAAATGCAGGGAGGAGGAGCAGCAGGGGACAGGGACCCTGGCAGGACGGGGCAGGAGCGGAAGTGGGCCTGGGAGCAAGAGGGAAGGGGGACTGGGAGCCACAGTCTGGCGGCACTGCTCTGACCCTCCAGCGGGCGGTGAAGACTTCCGTCTTGCCTTCTTTTCTGGCTACCAAACTGTCACACTTATCAAATAAATAATTTCCACACAAGCAGATGAGAGAATAACAGAGGGAAATGAAGCATCTGCAGTGAGCCCTTTATCAGCAGCGCGTGGCCAAGGGCCCGCGGCCACGCCCCTCCTCCCGAGCATGCCACTGCCTGGTGTGCAAACCCGCGTACTAACTTAGGTTATTGGGAGAGTTAAGTGCGTGTGTTATTGCAAATTAAACTAATTAGTGTCATTTCCTGACAGCTGCAGCGAGTGCTAGCGATCGAGAGCTTCCACAGCGGTTCACGGGGCTGCGCAGAGCAGGCAGCTGTGGTTTGGTGGGACCGAGGCGCCTGCTGGGCCGAGGCCCTGTGTCCCTGCCCTCCTGGCCCTTTGCAGCCCTGGGGACTGCTGGGGTCTGCAGCCCCACAGGGAGGGAATCAGGCTGGGAGGTGCAGGTCGCTCCCTGTTGGAAAGGCTGAGCGCGTGCTCCCTCCCTTGAACCCAAGGCGTAGCTGCCCATAAAACATGTTGAAACTCATTTCCTGAAGCAGCCAGACTAATTGTTCTGAAACAGCCTTAGAAAGCCTCCCTGACTGCAGCTTCCAGCACGGGTGAGCAGTGGAAACCAAGGTGACGGATTTCACAGGCTTTTCTCTCAGCCCCTGGGCTACAAACCATCAGCATGTCCACAGCATGGCGGTTCGGTGCTTTGCACACAGAGCTGAGGTCCTAGACGACCAGACCCAGCACCGGGCTCCTGCAGGCCACCAGGGGGGTCTCAGCATCTGCAGCTTAAACTGGGACAGACTGCTGAGTCCTGCAGAAGGGAAGGGACCAAGAGGCAGAGGGAGATGGCTGGAGAGTGAGGCCGTGCTGCAGGTGTACCAGCTCCCCAGGAATGTGATCCTTACAGCCTGCAATCCTGTGCTGATATTTAAAAAATCTAATTTAAAAAAAGGCCCAACCAAGGGAAAGAGAGGGGAGGCCAAGAGACTGAAGTAAAAAACAGATAGAAAAGAAGCTCATAGGGCTCCTGCCGCGCCCTGCACTCCTGGGCCTGCTCCTGAGCCAGCAGCTCTGCTCCCAGCCTGGCTTCCCGGGGAGCAGCAGCCCTGGGGTCTGGGGCGAGGGAGGGAGACAGAGCCCTGAGTAAGGCGGGGTGAAGGGGACTCTGCAGCAGTGGGCCCGGGTGCCTCGTGAACTACTGGTCCCTTCTCCCCAGGCTCCGAGAGCAGTGTGTGCCCTCCCACTGCTCAGGGCTGAGCTTGCCTGGGACCACAAGGGCTGTCCAAGGGGGAGCCGTGCCCTGATGTAGACCTCCCAGCTCAGTTCATGGGTGCAGGCCCAGGAGGACCCTTCGGCGGCTGCCACCTGCATGGCTCAGGCCGCGGGATGGAAGTCATACTGGCCAGCAGGTAAAAGGCAGCAGGACTAGGGCAACAGGTTGATGGCCAGCATCTCGGGGAGTGGGTGCACACAGATGGAACCCCACACTCCTCGAGGTGCTGGGACCCATGAGGGCTGTGAGGGTGTTGTGGCATTGGGGATGCAGCAGGGGCTGAGGCTCAGGACCACCCCAAGTCCTAGGCGGAGCGGCCTTGAGACGCCTCACTAACCAGAGAGCAGTGTGCACCCAAGGCGCGCTGGGCCTTCTGCAAACTCGATGTTAACAGTGGGCCTCTGTGTGTTTGCGTGACGGAGGACTATCTATGGAAAGACGTGTTACTCCTGTAACCATAGCTGCCACGCGGCTTTGAGCCGGGGATTCGAGCACGCAGGGCTCAGGAGGCAGGAGACACACTGCCATCTGTGCAGCCTCTTTCTTTTTTAATAGCCAGGGAAAGCTATCACCTCCAGCACTGGTCCGCTTTCAAGATGGGATCTGTTTGGTAAGACCTGTGTTACGGTTCTGCTTCCTCTAGAAAGCACCCTGCGACCACACGTGCAGTTGCACACCTGTATTTGTGCTCTAAAAGTGCTCTCTCTGGGTGTGGTGGAGGATCCAGAAGGCTGAGGCAGGAGGATTGTTGCAAGTTCCTGGCCAGCCTGGGCTACATAGTGAGTTCAAGAGCAGCCTGAGTTACACGGCTAGACGTGTCTCAAAAAACAAACAAACAAACAAACAAACCCCACAAAAATGCTGTCTTTAAAAAATTTTAAGCTAAACAAACTGATAAAGCTGTGACTTAATTCTTTCTTTGTGAAAATGGTTGAAGGGACCACTCACTGCCATGGAGCCACTGGACCTGAGTCCTGCTAGAATAGACGCTCTGTGGAGCGAGGGGGACTCAGAAGGGACAGGACGGCAGGCTGGAGGCAGGGAGGGCAGAGCCTGCGTGGCTCTGTGGGTGACGGGATGCAGCTGATGGCAGGGAGAGAGGGGCTGCGTGCTGTGACGGTGCCTGTGGGCCTTGTCGCACCTGAGCAGTGCTGCCTCGGTGCAGTGAGGCTGGCCGGAAGCGCACTAGACTGTGATCCGCTGAGGTTCATTCAGTGTAAACGTCTGTCTGCCCGCCTGGGCCTCCTGCATGCTACAGCACATCGTTTCTTCATGAAATATTGCCATAAGTAGTTATTGGCACTTTTTATGTTTAAAGCTTGGTAAAATGAAAGTTTGGCAAAACCTTGTTTGAGCCTCTGAATTTCACAGCTTGTGAAATCCGGGCTGCTGCTGAGAGGACCCAGGTCAGGACGCAGCAGGGCAGACTCGCGGTGCAGAGAGGCTTCTGCTCTCCTGGTGGCTTTTCATCAGTGTACTTTCTATCAGTGGCTCTGCATAAGATGGTGTTTTAAAAGCATGAGTATTCTGACCTGAGTTTGGTTTGGTTTGGGGTTTTGGGGATGTGGTACTGGGATTGAGTTCAGGGCCTGAGATACACACCCAGCCCTTTCTTCTAGCGTTTCTTACTTTGAGACAAAGTCTTGCTAACTCCCTAACTTGCCTGGGCTGTGCTTGACCTTGGAATCCTCCTGCTTCAGCCTCCCAGAGTGCAAAGATCACAGCCGTACACTACCTTACCTGGCATGATTTGCTTTCTAAAGCAATTATCTAGCACTTCCACTGTATAGAAATGTTTTCATTTGAAAATAGGAACATTTTTCCTTGCACAGTGAGTTCGGAAGATTGAAAACTAAATCATCAAAACAAAGTGCCACGAGAAAAGTTTGTATATTTGCTTACCGCCAGAAGAGAAATACCAGTGCCTCCAGTCCTCAGTCCCCACCGACACCTGTCCCTGGCAAACCCTGACCACTGTTACCCAAGGAATGCAAAGTGACAGCCCTTATGTGGCTTCAGTCCATGGGACTTGTTGACCAGCCTTGTCGGTGTGATTTTCCCTCGAAGACTACTTGCTCTGTCTTCCTGGTTCTTTGGCTGCTGTGAGTTTGGAGGCAATTTTGGGGAATGCGCATTCGGGGGCTGATTGATGGAGCACCCGCCGGAGCTGAGCATCTACTGGGCGTCCACAGAGCAGCACACACTGCTGGACACGGAAGGACGGCGCCTGGACTGTCTGGTCAGGGAGTGCTTACACCCACCGGGATTGATGCAAGGGTGTGGCCCACCATGGGCCGCTGCTCCACTAGGAACACAGTGAGGACAGCAGGGAATGCTGGTTCTGCCCGTGCCCAGAAGCTCTGCAAGGTTCCTCAGAGACAGGCGGAGGCACCCGGAGAGCGGCGGGAGCTACCTAGGACACTCTGAGGTGCAGCCCTCAGTGTGGCCCCTGTCTCCTGGCACTGGACACTGGGCCTGGCACAGAGCAGGGGCACAGACCACAAAGGAAGCAATTGGCTATGCCACAAATCAGCCTGAAAGGTGCCTTTACAAGTTTAAGTCCTCTGCCCTGGGCACACGCAATCAGGAAGGACGACAGTGGGCTCTGAGCTGTAGCACACGAGTGATCGATCGACTTCCCGAAAGAACTTTGAGATGCTTTTTCCTGCGACACCAGAACGGAGATTCTGCACACCTTTTGGTCACTGGTGACTAGATGTTGCACTTTTGGACCCCGGGATTCTGGACACAGTCTCTTATCTGAGGCATGAGATGAAACTCCGTGAATGTAGCTGAGGGACTGCGATATCTCGGCTCCCAGGAGTTAAAGCACTCCTTCCTCCCAAATTCCTGGGTTTCCTGGGCTGGTCCACCAGGACACAGAAAAGAGGTCATTCCCCCACTTTCTCCCCCACTTCTTCCTCTCTTTGCTCGACGTGTCAAGGACCATCTTTGCAGCCTTTCTTGGTCTCTTTGTCTGAGCTCTGTCCAGGTCAGGAGCACTGGGATCTGCCAGCTAAGCGCCCATTTCTGCGGGGATCGACCCACACAGCTCTGCCCAGAGCGGGAGGTGGAGCCTTTTTCTCTGCTCCGTCGGTGCCCTCTGTGGGTCACGGTGCACCAGTGCCTAT